AGGATCAACAGACATTCAGAAATCAAACTGCAGAGAAAAACAAGGGCCAAGATATCAACCAGAATCACTGACCCCCAGGGAGAAAACATAAATTACTCAGAAAGTATAAAAGGAAACTTGTAAATGTACATAATCTATATTTTCAAAGAGATAAGGGAAGTTACAGCATACATAAAACAAGAATAGCCTGGCTGGCATGGCTCAGTGGTTGAGCATCGACCTAGGATCTAGATCGTGGTTTGATTCCCGGTCAGGGCACATGCCCAGGTTTCAGGCTTGATCCCCAGTAGGGGGTGTGCAGAAGGCTTCAGATCAATGACTCTCATCATTGATGTTTCTCTCTCTCACCCTCTCCTTTCCTCTCTCTCTGAAATCAATAAAAATGTATTAAAATAATAATTATAAATAAAATAAGAATAGCTGCTATGGAAAAAAATGAATCAGAGATTAAAAAAATAGTTCCTGAACATCAAAATATATAATTATCAAATTCTTCAATAGAATGGCAGAAGAAAAAATTAAGAAAATACCCAGAATATAAGTTAATAAGATAAAGAAATAGGAAATGTGAGATTTTGAAAAGTTAAGAACCAAAGAGCCTCTATTCATGAGGTCCAACATCTGATTATTAGATGTTCTAGAAAGAAAGAGCAGAGCAAATTGAGGGAAGGAGATAATCAATTTTAAAAATTGCTCAGTGTTGAAGAAAGACGTCTTCAAAATAAAAGTGCTCCAATAATGGATCACAAACCTAAATATAAGCTAAAACAATAAAACTCTTAGAAGAAAATATGAGTAAATCTTCATGGCCTTGGCTTAGACTAGCCTTCTTAAACATAACAGTACAGCAGCAACAACAAAAAATAAACTGGACTTCATCAAAATTAAAAACTTTTGTGCTTCAAAGGACACCATGAAAAAAGTAAGGACAACCTAGAGAATGAGAGAAAATATTTGTAAATAATTTATCCGATAAGGGACTTGTAATGAAAACACAAATAATCCAATTTAAAAATGAGCAACGGGTCTGAATAGATATTTCTCCAAAGACATGCAAATGTCAATAAGCACATGAAAAGATGCTCAACATCAAATCAAAATCACAATGAGCTACTACTTAACACCCAGAAAGGTGAGTATAATAAAAAAATAAAGACAATAATAGTGTTGACAAAGATGTGGAGAAACTGAAACTCACATATGCTGTTGATGGGAATGTAAAATGACTCAGCCACTTTGGAAAACAGTTCCTCAAAATGTTAAACACAGGGTTACCATATGACTCAGCAGTTCTTCTCCTAGGCATACAGCCAAGAGAAAAGAAAACACGTCCACACAAAAACTTGTACACTAATGCTCATAGCAGCATTAATGAAAATAGCTCCAACTGATGAACAGATAAATAAAATGTGGTATATCCATCAATGGAATATTATTCAATAATAAAGGAGGAAAGTACTGATACATGGTGCAACATAGATAACCCTTTAAAATACTGTGCTTCAAAAACATGCTAACTAAAAGAAGCCAGTTATAAAGGATCACATATAATTTCATTTACTTGAAATACCCAGAACAGGCAGTTAGAGAGACAGAAACTACATTAGTGATTTCCTAGGGCTGGTAGTATCAGAAGGGAATCAAGAGTGACTTCCAATGGGTACAGGGTTTCTTTGGAGGGTGATGAAAATGTTCTACAATTGATGGTGGTGAGTTTTCCTATGTCTGTGAACATGCTAACAGCCAATGAACTGTACACTTTAAATGGACGAATGTTATGGTATGTCAATTTTATCTCAATAAAGCTGTTAAAAAATTGGCAACTGGATGATCTCTGAGATCTTTGTCAACAAGAAAAAGAGAAGAGTCATTTAGAAACTTCAGAAAAAAAATAAATCTGTATGTCAGAGTCATGCTCCAAAGCTGAACCAAATTAAAATGTGACATAATACTGAGCAAATGATAGAAAATAAGAAAAAACACTAGATTTGACTTGGCTGCTCAAAACTCTCCTTCTCTGAGTGACACAGGATTACATTTCCTTCTCTCTACATCTGCTCGTTCTTCCCGGTGCTACAATAGGTAATCTAGCTGATCTCTTGAACAGCAAGACTCATGGGGGTCAACAGAAAACCACTCTGTTCTCTTCCCCATTGTTGATCGAGTCCACTTTGTAGGGCTAGTTCTCCCTCACCCCTTAGATGAAATTTGAGGCTGGGCCCATGACTCCTCTGGTCAGTATCAGATGCAAAGAGTCCCTCAGTGACTGCAAGTAACAAAGTCTCATTTCAGTAAGGACAATGTCCAGACCTGTGTCCCAGTCAAAACTTGTTCCTGCATTTAAATTTCAGCTTTTCTCTCATTAGGCTGATTACTGTAGGGAGCAAGCAAGCCTGCAGTGGGAAAGGCAAGGCAGTGATGCAATCTTCATGATTTCCCTACATTTGTGTCCACTTCTCCTGAGCCTGCTAGCCACAGCGATGTCACTGAGGAGAGGAAGGGATGAGGGAAGGCCAGGGCATGAGGGCAAACAAGGTAGGGGCAGCGAGGGTCCACTTGAGTGTTTGCTTCTAGCCTCGGCAAGTGTTTAGAGAGGACTTTCTCCTGAGTGGGGCTTCCAGTGGCTCCTCTGAGATACCTATTGTTGAGCCTGCAGTTCTCTTATTTGGGCACGGAGCTGTGCAGGCTGTGGTCTCCCTACTCCTCTAAGAGGCTCTCAGGAGCAGGATCTAAGCTTACCCCAGGCCTGCTCTCTCTTGCATCTGGTCAGTTGGAAGTATGCATCTTGGGCGTGGTCTGTGAAAGTACATTTATTTCCCAACTGCAGTCTTTGACTCTGAGGCCACAGGGCACTCCAACCTGACCTCTAAATTCCCCCAAGCATGTGCCTGACATCAGTCCAGTTAACCACCAAGGGACCCATATCAGGTTCTCCAAGTGCTTATCTTTAAGCACCTCTTCCCTGGGGAGATGGAACTCAAAATGCCACAATAGTTCAGTAACTTTCTCAAAAACATTTGTCTCTTCAATCCCTAATCTTTTTATAGGCTGGGGATAGAGATCAGCTAAGGGTTGCAAAACTGGTTTTGACCCAGAAGCTTTGCACGTCCTGCTTAGATAGTCGAATACACACTAAAATGAAGGAACTGTTGACATCTGTTGTACTGCAGCTTCAGGCGAATCTGAAAATGAAGAATCCAAGTCTAACGCCCGGGTAGAATCACAGTCACATAAATGCTATTACTTGTTTTCACTATTTTAGAAACAATTTATAGACGACATTTGAATGGCATAGCATAGTTTAAAGAGCAAAACATAAACGTTAAAACATTGACAATATAAGGTAATGGTGTTACTTTTAAAAATTGGGAGGTGGAAGGGGAAAGAAGTACAGCTAAGTGCTGATTTCTTCATCTTAGTCTGCTCTCTAGTCAAGACATACTATGCAAAGTTGATTTAAGAAACAGAAGTTTACAATATTATTTAAAATTATAAAGTCATCAAGAGGGGAAATAAAAATAACTTCCAAACATAGGAGAGGAAGATAGGTGGGAGAGCTAAGTGTTACAAATCCCTCGCTTTAGCAAGACAGAGACAACCACCGGGAGCATTAAAACAGGAACTGAGTTTAAAATGGTTAACTTGGGGAGTGTAACCAGGTTTGGATGCTGGAAGAAATGTACAAAGGTATAATTATTTTTTTTAATAAAAAAAGGCTAATGCGCTCCCCTTTTTAAAATAAACAATATTCTCCTCTTACAAGGCATTAAGTAAATTACAAAATGTCACAATGTTAGTGATGTATTTGATATATATAGTGCGTATATATGTTTGAAATATATATACAGTGTGTGCATATATATCATATATAAATATATTTTATAGACATAGACATCAAACAAGTGGGTAGCATCCAGAGAGGTGAGTTATTTATTATGCCCCAAATTATACAACTAATAAGAGGACACCAATCAGATACAAGTCTTACTCAAATCTCTACTCTTTCCCCTTCATCAATATGTAGAATACCTGCTAATACACAATGTCCATTTATAAATAATTCTTTTCTCTTCATTAAAGAGCTCCACAAGGCAACCTTTTAGTGTCTTCATTGAGATACTACAGCTAGTGAGACCCAATTCCACCACCACCACAGCCCTGACACTTCCCCCACCCCCAGCCATGTCCACGCAACAGTTTCTGCCCAATCCAAGCGCTCACCATCAATGAATCTACCTTGAACTCACTGGGTTTCTTGTTCTTCATCTGAGTTACAATAAATAACCACGTTTCAAATGAATCTCTTTGTTTTTGAAGTAGTTGTGTGTGTTTTTTAACTGTTATAAAAATAACATTCATGGAGGGGAAAAAATCACGGTCCTACAGCGGTCAGACTTCTTGATTATGTTGTGAACAACAGAAACCAAGTCCTGCTATTTAAGCAGAAAAGGATTTCTTGCAAGGCTATCAGGTAGCTCACAGAATCCACAGGAATCAGGCGCAGAGGCTGGGAAGGAGCCAAGGGAAGCTGGGTGCTGGGACCTCTACCAAGGTCATGTCATGGGAAAAACAAGTCCCTGGTTGCCAGCCTTGGACACTGGTTGCCTCTTTTCCCTAATGAATTCTAAGCTGCCTGATTATTTTGCATCAGTGGCTCCAGCTTCAGAGCCCTGGACAGGAACTTCAGTGGTTAGAGGTCACAGGCTCCCTGGACACTGGCATTTAGAAGTGTAAGCATCTGATCTCAGAAGCATCCATAGCGGGAGGTGGGGCCCTGCCTCTCAATCAGACCCACACAAAGGCAGACAAACCAACCCCAAAAAGAAAGTTCAGATACTGCAGATACCAATGGTCAAACGCAAACAAAACAAGAAACTAAAACAGCCTCCTCTTCACACAACACATCGTATGTCCTCTCCAGATATAAAGCAGAAAGGCAAAGTCTCCCTCCTTCCCACAACAAAATGTATGTATAACCCCCCAGGTTTTTAAAACACACACACACACACACCACCCATACACATTCTGCAACTCTTCTCATGACAATGCATCTATTTTAAGATGCTCCCCCATTCAAAATGATCTCCCTTCTTGCTCCAAATCATTATGGTTCATGCAGTTTTTTCACAGTCATATTCAGAACTTGATTACTATAGCGTGTTGGGCCCGGACAGCCTGGATGCAGGCTGGTCAGAGGGATCCCTTCAGCAGCTAGATACATATTACCAGAGTGTATCTATAATGCACTTCAAAATATTTCAACACAGATGGTGTGTACATATTGGTTGGTTCAAGCTACACCTCAGGACAGTCAAGAACTCATGTTCCAGGCCAGTCAGCAAGCATTTATGAGAAAGGCCACAGTCCAGAAGTTGCCTCCTTTATCTCTATTTCCCAACAACATCCAGGTGACTTAGCTAAATTGGAACAGTAAGTATGGAAATGAGTTGTCCAGTTCGTGAAATTATTAGTTTGTTTAATCAGCATAATAGATGTTTAAAATACGTTCTCTGTTAAACTGGTGGTGGAGCTAAAAGCAACATAATTTCCTGTCTCAGTGTTGATCAATTCTGGGACCGACCATATATTTCTGACCCTATAGTAAACAGTACTGAGAACAATCAAAGATAACTTAGCTACTTATTCCAGGAAATACTTGCTCCAGGAAATTCTTGCTCCACAAAGGTAAGACTGTGGAACAACAAAAATCGTTTATTAAAACTAACAGCTTACTCATAAAATATTGCTTCCATGCCCTCCCTTGCATTTGCCCACCAATCCAAAGCTATTATCTCATAGGTTCTGCCCAAACCCAATAAATTCCCTATTTTGCAGGACTCACCTTAAAATCACCCAGCTGAGGCTCTCTTTGACTCACCCTTTCTCAGAACTACTGGCAAGGAGGTGTTCTCTCTTACAGCAGCAGGTCCAATAAACTTAGCTGTGCTTGTGACAGAATTTCAGGTTATCAGCAGTGGTATTCAAGACAAGTGGATGCAACAACAACAAAACTAGAACTAAAAAATTGTTCATACTGTGTTCTGTAGTAAGCTTGATAAAAATCCCAGCTCTACATCCTTTAAGCTTATAAATCAAGAGTGCATGAACAATTTTTTGTTTGTTGGCAAGTGTTTGCTGTATAGCAGAACTTGGTCTGAGGCTCACTTTTATTTCAACAATCAACTTGGCAGGGAGGTTATTTCAAAGCTTTGGCAATTACCTATTGCCAAACTAAACCTGCTAACCAGCATACCCAAATCGCTTAGATAAGTTTGTAAAGCAAGGTACTGCTCAGGCCTTGATTCTGCCCAGAGATGAACCACACCAGTACTTCCTATTTCTGAGGGTGCCAAGGTTCTTATCCAATGCACAGCTCCTGGGAGCAGGTTATCAAAGGAGAGAAATGAAAGCTCTGCTGCCAGTGGGCTAAACCCATTGTGGTCACAGATACACACAAACCCAGTCCAGGGTGCCTTCACAATGCCTGATTGCATTTTTTACTGCCATGGGTTGGTTAATGACACACCAAACTGACAGACCTGATCTCTTAGATTTTCTCAGTGGATGATGAGAAATAAAGCATAATGTGCTTGCCAAGCCCTCAATCCCATTTTACATTTTACTTTCAATTGTGTACTCATTACTTTGGTTCCTCACTACAGTCCTGAAGGATGGGTACATTCACATTATACAAATAAGGTAACTTGGTAATTTCCTTGGCTATTTGCTAATTGAAAGTGACAGGACTAAGACTCAAAATTGGACCTTCTGTCGCCTTGTTCATTTCTGCCTCTGGCTCTATTGAGTCAAGGATAAAATTCCTGAAACTTTTGCCACCTTAGAACTTGAAAAAGAATTGGATGGTCACAAATAAGCAAATAACTCATTTAAATGACATTTTGTACACACACACACACACACACACACACACACACAAAATAGTTGGCCCCAAAGAAATACCTACCAATTTGCTAACGGAGGAGGTGATGGAATGGTAGGTTCTTTCTAATAATAGTTCCTCTGTTTGTGAATTGGATAAGCCAGTTAACTCTTGAGCCACTGGTCCCTTATCTATAAAATATAAATGATACCTGCCATGTAAATCACAAGAAAAGTATATAAAAGAACCTGGTAAACTCTTAAGCATTATACACATGCAAGAGAGTATTAATAATCCTGAAGAGTGAGAACAATCATCCATTTTTATGCCTTAAAAAAACCAAGAGTAAAACAATCATAGTATTTCAGTTTATACAGGGCACTTACAATGGACTGTGAAAATGTCCATCTAAAGCTAAAACACCATCCAGTAACTAAAGAAGATTCTCTAAACCTATCATATGAGAGTTAGAAGGAGTCTTAAAAGATTTTTCTGATCTAAGCCCTTCATTTTACAGACACAGAAATCACAAGATCTCCCCAAGGTCCCCTGATAATGAGTGGTAATATGTCAGCATTTAAATGAAAATGCAGGTTTCTTGTACTCTCAAACCAACATTCATTCCAAATTATTAACAACCATGAGATGTATTTGAAAGAACCAGGCTGCACAAAACCACAGCTTCAGAGCCCATTTTACAAATGTACATGTTCATAAACTGCACATGGGTGTTCTGATCCCTCCGGTTCTTAATATCATCAGAATGAAAGGAACCACTACCTACCTTACAACATAACCCACCTATAACTATTTCTGACTAACTGCTGAGAATAATTCCTTAGCCTCTTTTGACCAAGTGTTTGGGTGTTCTGTGACTCTCCCTTCAAGGCACAATAGGATGAAAAGAACTTGAGTGGCTCAGGAGTTAACTGGATCCCCAAATGGCTTCATGGAGCAGACCACCTTGCCAGCCTAGCCACTTTTGAGTCCCTTTAGGTAATGAAGCTTTACCCTAAATACTATATATAGTCTTGAAGTTAGAAGAGAAACTGATGGAAAATACTTTTAAATAGCCAACTCATTTATGTCTTCAATTCTCAGTCTAGGGTGCAAATCAACAGGGCCCACAGCTGAGAATAAACCACACATGTGACCCAAGAACATCACCAGGGAAGAACCTCCATTCTTGGCGCCGAAGAATAAAGCTGTCCTTGTATCCGCTTAAAAGTCATACTCATCCCATCTGTTCCAAACTGACAAGAAAAAAAAGTAACAATAGCTCAAATTACTACTTCATAAGCAACCAAAATTATAGGCAGAATGCCTGGCTGGGCTTTCACAGTGGCAATTCTTACCAAATATACCAACAAACTAAAATATCTTATCAAGACAATTTCATTTTCTAACTGAGGTGTCTAGACAATAAAAACATTGAGGGCTTTTCTAGCACTGAGTCTGTGATTTTCTAATCATTTATAAAACATTTTATTAGAATGTAAGAAGAATAATATCCAGAAGAAATAAGAACATTCTTTTTAAATGAAAAATGTTTGCTCTTGATGGAAAATACACAACCTAGAATACTCTGCATGGGGGTGCGCGCGAACACACGCGTATCCACATGCACAAACACCCTAGCTTAATCCCAATTGTTGCTACAAATATTTGCAAACTATTTTTCAACATTATTTTTGTTCTGAACACATGAGTATTTTACCAGTATAAAGAAGAGGAGCCAATGAATGAGAGCTACCAATTCTGAGTTTCCATGAAAACTTGAGTTTGAAGGAACTAGGTCAAACCGACCTTTGTTTGTTCAAATGAGTATAAAACCTGATGGAATGACTGAAGCAATTACAAAAGAGGGAGCACAAAGGTAAGTGGTTCTCAAAAGGGGAGTATTTAAGTGTTCTCAACTGGTGTGCACCCAACAACTCAAAATGAGGACAACTTGCCTCCCAAAAGGGCCCTGAACACACCAACCAGCCCCCTCCTAACCTCCACCACCAAAATACTCCCTAACCGCTCTGAAGTTAAAAGGGGAAGAATACAAAGTTCTAGAGAACAAAAGCAAGTGAGAGAAATTTAAGACAAAGGAGAAAGATAAACTCTGAGAACTCGCCTAGGACCTAAATTTCTTACTGACTGCCAAATTAACTCCAGGGTCAACAATGTGTACTGATCACGCCGATCCTGGGGACAGAGGGTGAAGACGAGTGACAAGGCCTCGTCCTTCCAGAACTATTTACTGGGGGAGGCATACAGCCACTAGTAATCTAACAGCACGCAGCTTAGTTACAGGCTGTGAGGCCAATATTCAGGGCTGGGGCGGCGAGGGGCCACTGTCATCAGGGTGCTCAGGGAAGGTCTCTTTCAGGAAGTGACTGCTGAGCTGAGGCGCAGAAGGAAGAAGCCAGCCAAGTGCACGGCTAGGAGAAGGCCCAGGTTTACATAAGGCAGTCTGGCTGCGGTAGAGTCAGAAGGTGCTCCTGTGGGCAGAGTGTGGGACACAAGGGGCAGAAGGGCAGGAACTCTGACCAGCCAAGCCTGGGTCTATGAGAACACAGATTCAGTGCCCACTGGCTTCTCTCATGAAGCATGGCCTCTCGCTCTCACACACACAAAAAAACAACCACCACCACCATCCACTGCTATATTCCCTAAACTCGGGAATGAGTGGGGGTGGAAAAAGGTAAAGTATCCACAGATGGGGTGGGGTGGGGGGGTGGTAGAGCCACCCCTTGGTGTCACGAGATTATCCCGTCTGTTCAGAACAGAAAACTACTCTCAGGAAAATTGAGTGCTTTGCAGAGTTATGTAGCCTTTGGGGGACGAGCTGGGACTCAAACTAGGAGTGTGTGACTAACATATCCAGTTTCTTTCATTATATCACAGATTTTTTCATTTTTTAACATACCAAAAACATTTGGCACAGGTTGTAATAATACACTATTAAGATTCATGTGGACTGAGGATTTTTCCATTTATGATATTGACTTAGGCTCAAATGATCTATCGATATCCTCAGAAAGTTTTCCATTGTACAGTTTCCGCCAATTAACTTATCTTCTTTATAAACTGATATTAATTAACACTTCAAAACAATCTCTACATGACCAACAGGCTCATAACTGATGGTAATACAGAAATATGACGGAATACTACTTAGCAATTTTTTAGGCATTGTGGACTCCTTATATGTGAAAACAATATTTACTGACATTAACTTAAGTAACTTAATATTAAACAGAAAAAGCAGAGCACAACACAGGATGTACAAACTGGTTACAACTTCGTTACCAAGTACATATACCTACCAACAAAAACGAGAAATAATGTTTTAAAATGTAACAAAGATACATTTTTATTAAGGTCATTTTCATTTAAAATTGCTTGAGCTCATATAATAAATTTACAGGGCATCTTTCCAAAAGAAAACAATGTTAAAGAAATTAATGTCTTAAAAGGAGGGCTTTCTTAGTATCTATCTAGAACATGCACTCATATTCTCTTCACCATTTGGAATTTTCAAAGTTTAAATAGCATTAGAGATTTTTGGATTTTAATTTAATTTAAATATCCAAGGTTTCTATTACTGAACATTTCAATACTGACCCAATGGAAAAAGATGACTCCTATAACCAAACATTAGCATAAACATTGAACACCATCCAAAATTCTTCTGCAGAGATTGTAAACCTAGAGAGTTGTTGCAAAACAAGTCTCAGGCACTCGTAACATCTGCCACAGAACTCATCCAAAGTCTCGTTTTCTCCCATCCTGCTGATACATTAAAATGTTGCATTAGTAATTTACTCCTTCCAGAAATATTAGCATAGTTTCACTAAATGCGATAATTGATGGGCTGGTAAAATGTTGCCTAAATTGTCTTCTGGGCCTGAAAACTCTTTAATTTTTCAAGACAATCAACACAATATTGAAATCTATTTTTCTTTTCTTTTTTCAGATTAAAAAAAAAAATTTATTGTTGCGGGGGAGATCCTCTGTTCCACTTACTTATGCATTCATTGGTTGACTCTTGCATATGCCCTGACCAGGAACCAAACCCAAAACTTTGGTGTATCAGGACAAGGCTCCAACCTACAGAGCCACCGCCCAAGGCGCCATCCATTTCTCTGACTGTATTCCACACTGTGCTGCTTCTCCTGTAGTGTTTAAGAATTTAGACAGTTTTGTATTTATTACCCATCACCTAGCAAACACTGGTTCAAGATAAACTGTTAAATATATATATGAAATGATGAGAAAATTATTTAACCCTATTTTAAAATGGATGGGAGAAAAATAAAAAATGAAATGTTACATAGAAAAACTTTTTTAAGTATACTTAAATAGAATTTCCTAGACCTTCTACTTCATTCTTGAATGTTGGCACCTTTACTGGTAATGGTCTGTTTTTTATAGTATTCCCTGAACCAGAAGGACACAGCAAATAAAAGCAAAGGATGAACACTGGGAAAGTACTAAATGCCACTGAATTGTACACTTTAAAATGATTAATTTTATATTATGTGAATTTTACCTCAATAATGAAAAATTTTAAAAATCACCAATATATGTTTATATTACCATAAAAATATAATATTTGTGTGATAGAGAATACAGAAAATCTAAGCAATGAAATTCTGAGGTGGCCAACCGAAGCACTGTAACAATAAATAATTACGTATTCATGATGAATATTGAGATTTGCTTCAGAAGAATATGGAGGAAAAAGAATACGAAGGGTGGGGGTTGGGTGGGAGTCCAACTGACGGTGACTGGCTGTGTTAACACACAATCATAAGAGCTAGGTAACTGGTACAGGCAGTTTATTGTGTTATTCCCTCCACCTCTGTATCTTTAAAAAACACCCATAGTAAACTTTTTTAAAAAAATATATCTTTACAGTAGGTCTAATCCTGAAAAAAGAAACACATATTTAGCATTGGGTATATAAGAAACTTAATGTCAATCAGAAAACTGGCAAAATCATCATCTTAATTTACTGCTATGAGAACATCTGAGTTCTAATATTGTCCATTGGTAACTTCTTTTTTTATAATGGACAAGGACACTTTAGCATTTCAATGGCTTGTTTAACAGGCTTCATAAATAGCACCTTTTACAAAGGGTAAAAATTTGTAAGAATAGTACGTACCAGGAGTATCATAGGCCGTTTCCAAGTTGTTAATCCTATGATTCCAGAGAGTATCACCTACAATGATAAACAGTATCATAAATCTAGAAAAGGGACCAATTCCAATAAACTAATCCCCAGTCTCTAAAGTATGTATTTTTTTTCAATGCTGACATTTCAAAGCCTTCTAACTCAAACATTTAATATTCCCGCTGATTATGTGAGCCCTGGTAGACTACTTTAAACTATGCTTCAAGTCCAAGACCTTAAAGCTTTTTTATTGACTGTGTAAGTTTTTTCTTAAGGTCAATTAAGAACACACAAACAAAAATTAGCCTATCCTCTGGTTAGTGAAGGAATCTATATTTCTGATCCAGGCTCCCTGTCCCTAGTAGTACCTAATCTGTTGCCAGAGTCAGCCTCATAAGGTGCACATCTCGCCACAACCTTCTTATCAGGTGGGTACCCATCTTTACAGAAAAAATAAACTCTTCTAAATAGTAAACAGGCCTTCAGGATCTTCCCTTGCCTACTTCTCAACCGAGGTTTCCATGTACCCCTGCCCCTCCCACCATACACCTTCCTTCCAGGCACATCTATCAGTCCTCAGACTGGCCAGGCTCTAGACATTCCGGGGCTTTGTGCTTCTCTTTGCTGCAGTGTCCTCTCCTCCCAACTCTCCCCCACCCCCTGAGCTGCCTGAGAACTCCAATGCATCCTGCAAGACCCCAACTAACAGTTACTTCCTCCGAGATGCTTTCACTAATCCCACTACCCCGTACTCCTGGGAAGCCTTCTACATATAATTCTTCCCCCCCCAAAAAAGCCTCTGTATTGTGTCTCTGTCTTGCCCACTAACTGTGAATTCCTATCTTGTCTGAATCCCCAGCTCCTAGCACAGTACCTGATACAGGATTGGCAATTAATAAATGTTCCTGAGTATTTATTTATTGCACAAAGAGAGAGGGACTACAGTGAGAAACATCTCATGTTACAAAATGACACTTTAATAAACAACAATAAAATCCTGGTAAAGAGGAGCCAGCATTTTGCAAAAATGTAAACTGGAAACCAACATCAGCCCTCTGAATAACACAGGTCACTAAGCAGTTCAAAAAGAATCAAAGTAATTATTCACCCAGGGACATTCTGATGCCATTTGAGCACATTTGCCTTTGTGTAATAAAGTGCATCGGATGAATACAGTCATGAGGGTTTTCTTTTAAGTGCATTTTATACCAAAATCACTCAAATGCACCATTTCACTATTACTGTTTATTGATTCCAAATCAGTAAGGATTTGGGAGTGTTACTTCAAATTCAAAGCCCACAGGCCTGCCTGCAATACTCTCTATTCTCCATTTACTGACTGACAGTAAATCATTCCACAACATCAAATCAGCAGAGGTTGAGTCTACCCACTAGTATCAAGGACCAAACACCACATATGGGCAGATAAGCAACAGTTTCTTTGTGTCCCATCTATGTTTAAACCTACTATCAGCTGCCTGCCCACCAGGCACTATATCCTTGCAATCATCTTAAATTAAATAGGATATTTCCTCACTCTAAAGGATTTCTACCTGGAAACGCACAGGGCATTGTGCAGCTCGCCTAGAGGGTGTGGCCTCATCTACTTTACAAATTGGGACTTGGTATCCATGAGACCTTGGGGCACAGGCTTCCCACTTGGCTTCTAAGTAACTGTGACCTTAGCCAAATCATTTCACTTTTCTGGTCCTCACTCTCATTTCCTTAGAAATATGGTGAGTGAAGGAAACCATCTCAGGGTCTCTTCTAACTCAAAAGGTTTACCTGCTGAGATGATAGCAATTCCTCAGAAACTCTGTGATCCAGCACTGGCCCTACCCTGTAGACCGCATGTGGGTGCACATATTTGCACGTGTGCTGCATGTGTATGTGTGCCTGCATTAGTCCCTGTGTGCATGCATGCCTGTGTGTGCATTCACATATGCATGTGCTCCCTGCCTGCCCGCCCTGCTGATTCCTGGATTTTGCTGAGAAGATGCAACTATTTTTGTGAAAACATAACTAAAAAAAGGACTGCCCTTGAGCGAAACACAAAATGCCCACTTCACTGAACTATAAATATGATTTGAATGATCATTTAGTGTTTGATATTTATGTCACTGGTCTCCATTAATACAGAGCCCTGTGGTTCAGCTTTCTGGAACACATTTTTTCCATTAAAACAGTATTATCAAAGTGAGATATCCAGCCCAGCCCATAAAAGCCCGTAAACTAGTGGTATGCCTAAACTATACTTCCCAGCCCCCACCAGCCACGTCACCCCATCTCCTCCACATTAACAGTTTAGCATGTTTACATATCTTACACATGTCCACGTTTTCCTTTAAATTCTTAACTAGACACACGTGTGTGTGTGTGTGTGTGTGTGTGTGTATACACACACCAAATATATATACACAAATGCACAGGGGTGTAATTTTACCCAAAAAATGGATCATGAAAGATACTTTTCCTCCTCTTCCTTTTCTCTCTCAACACATACTTGATGGAAATCTGCTCATGTTCACAGAAATGGCACTCATTCATTTCCACTTAATGGCTGCATAATATTCCTTTGTAGGGCTGCACCTAATGTATTCAACAAGTGTCTGTGTTTCCATATTCATGAGTATCTACTCTATTTCCAGCTTTTTGCCCTCACAAACAATGCTGCAGCCAACATCCATTAACATATAACCTTAAAAACAGTGCTTTTTATTTCTGTTGGACAAAGTCCCAGGGGTAGGTTGCTAAATTGGAAGGGAGATTATATATATCTATGTATATAATTGCTCCTGACAGATACAATTGTCATTTCAAATGAAGGATCTCTGGGACAAAAGAGCTAAGCTGTCTTTCTTTCTTTCTTTTTTTTTGGGGGGGAGGGGGAGTTTGCATATTCAAGCAACAAACTAAATTTAAAAGACAATTTTGAAAATATGTACAAAATGTATTTGATAAATAAGAAATCAATAGTCTAAAATACATATGACAAAGATACTTAAGACCTCAGTAAGGAGACATACAAAGCTTATTAAGCAATAAGAAAACCTTAACTGAAGGTCTTCTTAAATGAAGACCCAAATAAATCAAGATAAACATCACGCTCACAGACTGGAAGACAAAATGTTTAAAGATGCCATTTCCGCTGGAACTGTTTTATAGACTCAACACACACCCATGTTAAAGCCCAACAGGATTTTTGTAAACCACCCTTCTTTATAGGGATGCTTTAAGGAACTGCATGCATTCCAGTTGAATGTGGTAACTGTGGTTACATCCACCTCAGCCCTGAACCCTGCAGTAACGGCACACACTGACTTCTACTCAGTTGTCCCCACTCATGGAGCTCAATTAAGCCCTAAGACACTCTAGGAACCCTATGAGTGGTGAGGAGGAGAGGGGGAACTGAGGAAGTAGGACGTGAGTGGAGTACAGAGTGTTGCAGCTGGGGATGCATCTTTTAAGAGCTCAAGATTTGGGGAACAGATGCTCACATTTCATCTGGGGAGGGTGGAATTCATGAACGAGGAGAGGGATTGGGGAAGGGAGAAAAAGAGGGGGCAGACTGCAAATTGATGCAGACACTAAGGAAAACAGTATGAATATTCCTCAAAAAAAAACCCCTAAAAATAGAGATACCATGCAATCCAGCAATTCCACTTCTGGGTATTTACCCTAAGAAAATGAAAATACTAATTCAAAAAGACAGACGTCTGCCTATGTTCACTGCAGCACTATTTATAACAGCCAAGATACGGAAGCAGCCTGGAAGTCCACTGAGAGGTGAGTGGATAAAGAAGACACAGCACAGGGAGCATTTGAGACCTTGCTCCCTAGCAGATGTCGTCAGTTTGGCCCAAATAAACTCTTACAAAGAAGAAAGAGGAGGAGGAGGAGAGGAAGAACAACTATATATATAAAGGAATATTACTTGGCCATGAAAAGTATGAAATCTTTCCATTTGCAACAACATGGATGGACCTAGAGGGTATTATGCTAAGTAAAGTAAATCAGATAGAAAAAGACAAACACCATATGGTTTCACTTATATGTGGAATCCCAAAAAGACACACAAATGAACAAATAAAACAAAACAAAAACAGACTCATAGAAACAGAGACCAAGGGGATGCTTACCAGAGGGGAGGGGTTAGGGAATGGGTGAAAAGGTGAAGGGGAATACAGTCAACATATTGTGATAAGTTTGCACGGTGACAGATGATTACTAGAATTAGTGGGGTGATCACAAGGTAACATATAAAAATGTCTAATCACTATATTGTACACCTGAAACTAATACAATACAATATTGTATACCAACTATAATTAAACATTTAAGAAGACTGAAAAGAAACACAGTCAAGATGTTTCCATTGGGATTATGGGTGTTTTAAATTCTCTCTGCCCTTTCCTTTCTGAATTTCCCAACACTTCTACAATAAAAATGTTTCACTTTTATTTTTTAAAAAGAAGAAGAACGCAGAGCCCTGGCCGGTTTGGCTCCGTGGTTAGAGCATTGGTCCGAGGACTGAAGGGCCCTGGGTTCGATTTTGGCCAAGGGCACATACCTAGGTTGTAGGCTTGAGCCTCCGGCTCCTGTCAGGGCACATGCAAGAGGCAACCAATCCATGACTCTCTTTCATATTAACGTTTCCCTCCTTTCCCCCCCCTTCTCCCCCCCTTCCACTCTCTCTGAAAAACAATGGAAAAAATATCCTCCGGTGAGGATTAAAAAAAAAAGAAGGTGGCGGCAAAGTATACTTCACCTCTACCTCCTTTGGTGGCATAAGTAGTTGGAGCTCCAGAAAGGAGTCAAGAAAATCCATTAACAATGGCCGTCCATGGCTCCCATTACACATCAGTGCTATTGCTTGTTTAACTGCTTTACGCTCACTGGCAATCTTATGAGGTTTTGGACTTGTGAACAGTCATTCAAATACCACTACAGGGTCCTCAAGGCACTCAGTTACGGCAAGAGTCAATGAATAAATGAATGGGTGATGAACAAATGAATGAACGAAGGTCAAAACTTGGAGACAAACTTAC